ACAAAAATAACGTATATATTCGGTAGCGTTATATTTCTGTTGTTTACAAATAGAATGTACGACTAAAGATAATATTTTCACTGAAATTATGCGATACTGGTAAAGATAATAGGTTTGGATAAGACGTTGGAAGTTTGCACGAATTTTGATTGGGAGTAAAAGACAAAAAACGTCAAAGCTTCCCAATCCTCAATGACTTACAGATATACATATATTAATTACCATCATACAGTGTAGCACCGGATTACATAAAAATCATATTACCGTACTAAAAACCGTAGAGCAGATGGGGAGTGCAAGTTCTATGTTTTACCAGACGTTAAGCTCGAAACATAGAGATGTTCTTGTAGAATTAGAGTTTTAAATAGTGGCTCGATACACTAAGCGCATCGCTGTACATGGTGGAGTTACAACTTTGTCGTGGTCTCGAAGGTGATACCAATCATGCCAAAGATGATTTTAATGGAAGTGCGTACTGCCAACAGCCGTGATAATTGCTAAATCCGATGTTGTTCTTCATTCAGTGACAATAATAAAACATGGTGGAAAACCTTCCGCAAAGCAGCATCACGATAAATTGAACTATCGTTGAGTCGAACACGGTCAATGCAATAAGGACCGAAACATGTACGGAATCGAGCTGAGACTCAGAAGACCAAATAATGCTAGAAACAGAATTAAAAACTTCATGATCATATAGACAAACAGAGGTCAAACTGTTGGCCGTTTCGATTCTGGAAACATAAGAAACAAAGCAAAAACGCAATAAGAAAAATCACGTACCATGTAGTAACTGAAGTACTTAGTGGATATGGTTCGAAATAGCCTGGAATCTCGCTTATGGGAATAGCATTGATGACCTAGTCCCGTCTACGATAATTATTCGTTTAAGTAGAACACTTTTACAGCATAAGCTGGCACCACGTGATTTTTGCGACATTCGTAGGTCAAGATATTATCCATTGTATCTGAATTACTGAATACTTTGCTTCCAAAAAAGAGATACAAATCTTATGACTGTCGTAGCTATTCTGTAATCATTGGCATGAAAGATTGCCGATTTAATGACGATGATTGACCTTCGATAAAACAGAGTAATAGAGATCACTAGTAAAGGAAGCCATAGCACTATTATTTAGAGGCTTCTGCGATCTTTCGAACGCCTCAGTTTATTCTGTCTATCTAGGCAACCGCCTATTATCTACCTTTGGTAGCAAACTAATCTAGCCAGGCATGTCTTTCTTTCAGCATTCGATCTGATGTCGCGACATGATTGCAAGATACGTAGCTCGTATTGAGGACCATGGGCACCGTACGATTAATTATTTTCGCTGAAAAACGAGTTCTGAAATAGCATGATAACGTCATTAAATAACTAGTAAATGCGTGTACCTTTGGCCGTAAAGATAAAGTATTCATTACTTAATTAGCTTCCGAGTAGAGATCTAAAAAAATTGTGAGTAAGCAAGATTGTTTGTTTTCTTAAAATTTGTTTGAATATCTAATACATAATGAAATATAATTAAAGGAAACAGAATTATTCCAACTTACAGTCTGTAACAGGTTCAACTAAGTAGAACACAGAAATATCAGAGCTATATTTGTACAGAGCTGCTCAGAGAAAATATCGTCAGTGGAATCCATCTATGAATTAATTTTTTCTATTTTCGTTAACATGAAATATATTTTTATAATTGTTGCCGACAGGATCATTTACTTTTAGATACGCACATCTCTGTGAATATAGATATACATATATATTCGAAGTTCTACTTGCCGAAACTGAACAAGTTTGAATGGTGGAAGGTTAAGCATCATTCATTACATTCCTATGATAATTCCAAAGCAAAATTTAAGTAATAGTTTGAAATTAAGATTACATACAAAAGTATTTCGGTTGCACATCCGGAAGACAGTTTAGAAAAAAAAAATGAAGTCCAGGCATATCTACCTATAATTATCATTGAACTGGTCATTCCCTCAAACAGAAATCCTAAAATAGATCTATCAAATGATAATATAGTTGACAAAACTCGAATATTACTAGCGTCTGGAAACATTCAGCTTACTTCGCTTCCCCGTTTCGATACAGCCTGAGCCAGATCACGTGCCTAAGGTCGTATGTGCTCCTGTCACGAATTTAGTCACGAATAGCCCCAAAAATTGAATGCACCTTGATGTTGCTGCAAGTCTGTCATACTCCAGTAGCACTTTCCAACGACTTCACCTTCACACGGGGCTTTGCGCTGATACCCACTTAATATAAATGCCGTCTTGAGTAGATGGACAACTTAAGCCTGAATCAATTAAATACTTAGTATAAATTGAGTAATACACGCAATCAAACTTTTTCGTTGCCTGTAGATTTGTTTGTATTTCGAAGGTTCGTAAACTCGAATAGTTATCAATATATGACGTTAAGAATTAAGCCATAAAGTATAGCTACGAGTGGAATTTTAGCACAAAGAACGCAATGTTTGTTCCAACAAAGCGTCATCACGCCCTTTGTGGGTTACTATCCCCTGTAGAGCTTCTTTTCATTCTTTAGCTCTATTATGTAGAAGTATAAGACATATAGACAATGAGCTGAAGTAAGCATTCATCTCAGAAAGAAAAAATCTAAAGATCACCACTATGCGAGTAACTGTAGCGATTCTATTCGATTTTGGCTTACGTATTTAGGGGCCGATGTGTAGGATCAGAAATGATCATAGGATATTAATACATTACAGTATTAGAAGTGCCTATTGTAAACTCATGGCCACCGTAGATTAGTTTTTTGAAGTGAAGCTTACAAAAAAGTACGTGCATCTTCAGTAGAAGCACCTACACCAGCAGGTGAGAGAGACATAATAGAGGCCCTAAAAAAAAATATCAGCCAGTTTCATGTTGGGTGAAACAAGGGCTGTAAATCGATATATTGACTTATTAGTAGAATTTACTTAAACAATGTTGTCTCTAAGAATGTTTTCGCTCCTCCAGATGTGGACGTCGTGTCATCGATCGCAGAATGATACCACAGAGAGAGACCAAACGGTTTATATAGTAGTCGGTAAATTTAATTTGCTTTTAGCAACAGGAATTTTCCTGTCCCTCCTAGTTTTCTATCCGTGCTTACTCTTGAGAGAGTGTTGTTGATTCATTCCATTATAGTTAAAATCAAATGTATTCCACGTAACGCAGGCGATGTTTTCCTAATAACCTAACGCGTGTTCTTCGTGTGGACACCGAGAAATCGTTTACGGTATGAACGGCGTTTATTTTAACTGATTCCTACCTCTAGATAACCGACGGCTCAGCAATTATAATAAACTGTACACGATTAGTCAATCATGTCGCGAGTAGTTGACGGAAATGCAGCTACAAATACAGTTCAACTAGGTCTAATGATATGGGCCAATAATAGGTTTTTAGTATCCTTTCTGTAAGGAATACACCGGCAAATCGCGTAGAAGGCTTTGTCTATACACCGTCGATAACAGTTAACATAAATTGGCTAGCCACCTGGATAAACTCACGGCATTATTATAGAGCCTATAATTATTCTAATTTTA